ATTCAGCTATATCTCCAGAGCGAGTTCAGAGCATTTTGCTCTCCAGGCTCTGGGCATCTGTAGGTCTTATGAAATCTTGTGTGAAAGGAAGAATGAAGCCTGCTCCCTCAGGCAGTCCAAAATGCTTCCTAACATCTTTTCTTACTGTGGCTGTAGTTGTGCTCCTCGGCCAAATTCAAACACAGATATTACATGTACTTGAGTGCGCAACCCCCAAAATGCCTTGCCAGGTTTGCGTTCTGTGGGAGGCTGTTGTTAAAATGCTGCCAAGCTCCATCAAAACAGTGGTCTGCCTTTTGGTCAAGGTCAAGGGGGATTCCCATATGGTGATATACAGCATATACTCTACAGAAATCAGCTCTAAATCTCAAGGTTCATGCTTCAGTAGAATTTGGATTTGGATTTATAGTGTTATGGGAAATGTAGTGCATGTGTTGATTATACTTCAGTGAATTATTTTGCAATTATCAAAGCATTGTACTGTCAACTGCATAAATAATAATAACTGCTTTTGAAGTGTTTAATTTGAAGTATCCTTGTAGGCTTGCTTTGTCTTACTAGTAGTGTGTGCTAATACTGCAGAGCCCTGATTCAGGATTAGTGCCCAGATCTCTGTACATCTCTTTTTTTCTTCTGTTTTTAATTATGACAATGTATCCCCTCTTCTGCCTTGCCGGCAGTGATGACACTTCACATATGTTTCTCTGGCTACGAAAATATTGGGTAGCCTGCCCATCTTTACAATATGAGGATTAATGGGTCATTTTGGGGGCAGTCTTCTCAAGGGTAATGCCTGCTGAGTGGTTATTTGTATCCTGAGCCCAGAGGCAGGATGGATCTTCTGGATATTTGAACAAGGAGTTGGCATACCATCATGAAAGTGTCTGAACTGCTTTCTAACAAACCCCTGGGTGCAGTAACAGGGAGTCTGGCAGAGGAAGCAGGGTGGCAGCACAGAGGGTTCCTGAAAGAAGTGGATTAATTGCTTTATGTTCTTTGAAGAAGAAAAATGCTTCTAGCTAGTCGTTCAGAACAGAGTAGGTAAGAGGCCTGTTGAAATCTGCAGAGAGGAATATAAAGGATCTGAGGGAAGAGTCACTCTTGCCACTGCTTTTTCTCTTAAGTGTAAATGCATCATCCCACAAGGCAAACAGCTGTGTCAGGATTGTAGGAAAGTGTAAATTGCTGCCTGTAATGTTTTGTATCTGAACAGCTATGAAACTGGAAACATTCACCTTCTGCTCTGGAATTGCTCTCTCTGCTCATCCTGACTCCCCAGACAGATACAAATTGAATGAATCTGTCTGGTGTCCAAGATAACTGAAGTGCAGGGCACTGTGTTACCTATCATCTGAAGCCACAGTCAGAGATCCTCCACATTAGACGTTGTCCAAGTTGTAAGAAAAGCTTTCACATTCCCCACAGTCAAAAACATAGAGAAAAGCACAGCTCCAGATGTTATACAATCTAATCTGAAACAACTGACCATCAATGACGTTAGGAAGAAAGCAAGAGGAAATTCAAGAGAAGTGATGATAGCCCTAAATAATTTCCTAGTTTTTAAGAACTTGTGTATAACCCATAGCTTTAATACAGGAAAGGAGAAGCCTTGTGCCATGTGCCCTGTGGCACACTACCATCAGTCACATCCTAGAGTAGTTCTGCTCTGACATTCAGACTGACTGCCCTCTGCAATCGCAAGGGACAGCTCAGCAGCACCACAGACTTTCTAGCCTGCTTTTCACCTCCTCGACCCTCTAGCAGTCTGCAAGGTGACTGGGGATGTAAGCACACTTCATATGTAGAACCAGATCAGTAAAGCACTCAACTAAACACTCATACCAAATCCTCTTGTCTTGCTAAATCTAGCATCTTCCTAGATGTTCATCTTCTGATGTTTGTGTCCTTTCGTGTTCATCTTCTGAGGTTTGTGTCCTTGAAACGTCAGGGTTTATGTATGGTCAGGTTTTATGTACGGTCATCATGACTGGATCAAAATATATCTACATAAAAAGAAGCAAGGCCATGTCCTTTTCCTGTAGGAAAAGGAGCTGAATTTTCAATACCTTTTGTATGAGCAAGGATCTGATAGAAGATTTCTGAAATGTGTTTAATGTGATTAAGCCAATAGACGAAGTTGGGAAGATAGACAGGTTTTCAGTACAAATTCATTTCTAAAACACAAGCCCTGAATTCCAAGCTAAGTGATGTTTGGAAATAATTGCTCTGAGTTTAATTTAATTATGCTAAGCAATGGCACAGTGGCAGTTTTTGGAGAGAAAGAAATCATTAAGAGCTGTGGAGCAAAGAGCACTGCAAGTAGGAGGGAGGTTACAGGGTCATTCACCCTTGCCAGGCAGTGTGAGAGATACAGGTAATTATCACCTGTGGAGAACTGAGGAGCAGGAGGGATTTCAAGAACGCACCTTCTCTGTCGAGGTGAGAGCATCTGCCAAAGAGGACAGAAGGATCACAGTCACCAAGGAGAACATAGTCCCAGTAGGATGCCCAGAAAGACCCAGCGCTGAGCTGCACGGTGGAGACAGAGCTAAGGCTGCGAGAGGAAATGGGCTTAAGCTGCGCCAGGGGAGG